AGCCACCATTGTCATAGCCTGCGGCCGGATCCTCTTCCTTCGGCGTTGTCCTAACAAAGTCCCTTACCCTCGCCACCGCCCCGATCGACGTTTCCAACCTCGTCCACGCCTGCAACGCCTGCACAATCAGCTCATTAAACGTCATGACCAGCACCAACGACACACCCAAAGCCCCTGCACTGACAGCCGACTTCGACGACCCTGCTTTCTCCGGATCCGGCGCCACCCCAACCGCCACACCCACCAACACAACCGCCATCCCGCCCACCACCAAATCCAACACCAGCGCCAACCACTGCTGAATACAAGCCAGCATATAAAAAGGTTTCTGTGCCTCATCCATCATCCTCGCCAATCTGTCACGGAACCTCTTATCCCACCCAAACGCGCGAATGGTAGCTACACCCCCCGCCGTTACTGTTTCGAGGAAGTGCTTGTACACGGGCGCCTTGGCTTCAATGTCTAGCAATCGCAGCTGTCGTGACGACCGCAGGTAGTACTTTTGTACGAGGAATAGGGTGACGGCGAGTAATGGAACGGTGGCGGCTAGGTATTTTCCCAGGACGCAGATGATGATTAACTGGACGAGGGCGTAGGAACCGGCGCTGGTGAACATGATGGCTTGGATGGGGAGGGTCATGTCTATGAGGTCCATGTCTTGGGAGAAGCGGTTGGTTATGGTGCCGCTGTCTTCTGAGCTTGCGTTGTTATTGTCGTCGCCGTTTGAGTCTGTGGGTGACGACGATGACGACGACGATGACGACTGGGAAAAGAAGGAAAGCGGTGCGGAGAGTACGGAATTCAAAAGGTCCGTATGAAGAGACAAGGCCGTGTTGCTGATGATGTTGATGAGGAAAACGAAGCACTCGCCTACGGTGCCAATTTGCGCGAGAACGACGAGGAGCGTGTAGATACCAAGGTAGTAACCTAGATTTGGATGAGGATCAGGGTTGGAGGCTGAAGGGGTGCTGGCGGAGCTCCAGTCAGAGATCCAAATGGTCATGTAGTTGGATGTTATGGCACCGAGGATGGTGAAGAAGGCCCAGAAGGAGAGACTGAGGGCGCCGGCGCTACGAGCGTAGTAGGCGTACACGGACCAGCTTCCTTGACGACGTTCGAAATTAGGCTTGGTTGCTTGTCGGGTTGTTGTGTCTGAGGGCTTTTGTGTCATGCTGGGGCTTTTGCTGTCCCTTAATATCTCGTCTGTTGCAGACTGCTGCTCCTCCCCGGGCTCGATAACATTGTCGTCGGTCATGGCCATGAGCTTGAGATCACCTCGCGATTGGATCTCGCTGTATGAGCCGATATCCGCGATTTTGCCGCCTTCGAGTACGACAATCTCGTTCATATAGGGGAGAAGGCGCTCTAGAAACTCAGTTAATTACGTGATGATGTGACTATGTAAGGAAGAGACTTACTATTGTGAGTTGCAAGTACAACCGAGACACCCGCCTTACGAAGATGGCCTTGCCTGCTAAACAATCTTGTGGTAATATCCTTAGCAGTTGCAGGATCCAGGCCACTCATAACATCGTCGAGGATAATAACAGGAGCACGAGAGTATACAGCTCTGGCGAGGGCTACTCTTTGCCGCTGCCCTCCGCTCAACGAAGAGCCATTCGTTCCGACGACTGTTTGGTCACCCGCTGCCATACCGTCGAGATCACGACGGAGTCCGCACGATAGAATACACAAATCGTACCATTTCTGGTGGATCTCGAAGTCCTCGCTGCTGCCGGTGATGTTGTGTCGGATGGTATCGTTCATGAGCCAGGCTGCTTGTGGGCAGTAAGCTGCACGGGAGAAGTTGGCGGTGACAGATCCTCGCTGCAAAGTTGTCTCTCCTACCAAGCTCTCCAGAAGCGTGGACTTCCCTGAACCAACTGGACCGATAACTGCCGTAAACCCCGGCTTGATAGTCAAGTTAACACCTTGAAGTACTGGCTCGATGGTATTTGCTGACCAAGAGATATCCGCAGCTGCAAACGAGGCGAGCGCCCCAGGTGTCGTTTCACGGGCCAACGGTCTCGAACCCACCACGCTTCTTAGCTCTGTGCCACTCTCAAAAGAGGCTCCCGCCGACCGTCCCCTGTCCTTAGCCGAGGATAAATCCGATTGTTTTAACTCCTGTTTAGTCAGATATGTCTCAATGCGGCCAAAACACGCCACGGCCTGCATGGCAGCTGGGAAAGCTTGACAGAACATAAGCAAAGGGGTTGTTAACAGGTTAATGAGCGAGAGAGAGGCGAAAGCTTGTGCTGCTAGTAGGTTTTGGTCTTTCTTCACTGCCGACATGATACCATAGACGACGAAAGTCGCGTAGGGGGCGACACCATTTCCTGGTGCGTTGGCTATGTATAGGTTAGCTTCGTGGCTCAAATTCAGACTTGTCGGCCAGTATGACGGAGTAGGTATTGACTTACAAACTTGGATATTCCAAAGCAAATATTTGCGGAACTTCTCTGAAGTCTTCAGCTCGGCTCTGCGTAAGCCCTCGATGATATTGCCTAGTACGCCGGTAAGTCCCAGCATCTTGACGGCTTTCATGTCACCGAGCATGTTGGCCGTGACGGCGACTCGCTTTTGGACCCGCTCGTTCCATGCTACTTGTGCAGGCCCGGTGCCTGCTCCGATGAAGGATGCTCCGACAACGCATACTGTGAAAGTTTGAGTCTGATATCAGCTTATTTGACCCATCGTAAAGTAGTACATGTAGAAAAGAGATCAGAGAGCCGGTCAGGAAAGCTCAACTTACCCAGGCAGATCACCAGTGGAACGATGGCAGCATACGATACCTGGCGAGCCAACAACCAGATGGCAATGCCAACGCCCGGTACAGATGCCCATAGCTCATGAACATTCTTGATACTCGTGACAATACGTTCCACATCCGTTCCCATTAGAGTGACTGCTGCAGAGTCCTTGACGTCAACGGCCCGAAGAGCAGTGGTATGCTGATAAACCATAGCGATAAGTCCTGAGCGGATTCGAGCAATCATCCGGTTCGTCTGTCGCCAGTATATCGCTCTTGAAACCTACACCCATCACGTCAGTTAACGGTGTCCAACCCATGAAGGAATACATATTGTGATAGTATCACTCACAGCAATACCAACATACAACAACACAAACCCGCCCACCAACGCTCTCCCAAAATATCCTGGCTGCGGCGCCTCAATCTCCTCATCCCCACGCTCTCCCCCTTTCCGCTCCCTCGAAGCCAAATACCCAACAACCGCCTCAATCAAAAACGGTTGACAGAGACTAAACCCCAACAACGCCAACCTCGGCACCACCGCCGACCAGAAAGGCCATTTGTTCGCCTCATACGCCGCGCGAATCAGCATCCACCCTTTCTTCTTTTCCCCAGCTTCCTCTCCCTTTCCTTTCCCCTTCTCTTGCTTCCCACCGTTCCCACTCTTCGCCTGTTTTTCTTGTGCCAGCAGTAGCAACCTCCTAAAAACCTCCTCCATTTCATCCCCCGCGCTCTCCACCCTCAACTCCCCATCCACACCCGGAATATCCCCCATCCCCAAAGTCTTCTTATACCCGACCTGCAAGAACGGTAACAACCAAGCAAAGAACCCACGGCTCCAAAACCCGGCTGTTTGCTCCTTGGTGACGACGATGTGTTTGTATCGCGGTTGGAGAAGCGTGAATTTGCCGAGGGACTCGGTGACGGCGACGAGGGTGGTGAGAGCGAAGATGAGGGTCCAGAGGACTTGGAGGACCAACAAATGGGGGATGGGGTTGATGGGGCTAGTGGGGGAGCTGGGGGAAGCATGAAGGAGGTAAAGGGTGCGAAGGCGCGGGATGGAGAGGATGGTGGAGGCGGAGAAGTAGATTACCAGGAGATCGGAGGGGTGGATGGTGCGTTGGTCTTCGAGGAGGGAGAGGAGGGTGGACGAGACAAGGGAGATGGTGGTGAGGAGGGTGGCGGGGAGGGAGAGGGTGGTCCGAAGAGATTTGGTGGTGTAGATGGTGTTGAGAACGTGGAGGGTAAAGAGCGCGGAGAGGAGCGTCTGCGATAGATGTTAGCTGTGGTTCGGACTGGTGTTTGTGGTGGTGGTGAAGGAGTACTGAAAGGGATGGAACCTACCAATTTCCCAATTGCCAACCGCCTTGAAGTGAGTTTGACTGGACTCTTCCATAATGACCAAAACCGCCATGGAACGGAAAGGAGGAACAAAACAGCTGGGAGAAGCATGAAGAAGCCATCTTCGAAGAGCAGGGTGAAGTCAAACTCTCGACATGCTGCATTGACCCGGGGACCGAACTGTCGGTCCGCCTTGAGCCCGGATGAACAGGCATCGCCGCCGGGCAGTGTTGATGCCATTGATGTTGGTTCGTATCTCTCTACCAAGTTGGTGATGAGGATGCGAATAGCTTCATTTTCGTCTGTTGAAATGAGATGCCCAGGATATCTTATACGTTGCTCACCATGTTAGAAATACGAATTGAGCCGCTGCCCCCCTAGCACGGGAGAACGATAGCGCTTGCGCGGGAGCGGCCAACGACAACACCACGCTTGTTTGTTAATCCAGATTAGGAAGGTGAATGTAATCTTGGCCGAAGGCCTACGCGTTCTCGGCCTTCCTGTACGTAGCTGTCCGCGTAAGCACTATCTGGCTTTTGATTGTTAGCTTCTATGGTTCTCTCTTCTGTTTATGTGGTAGACTCTTGTTATTTCACATGTCACATCACAGTGCTGAAGGTTTGTTGACATCGGCAAAATGAGTCATGGACTCGTTTTAGCATGACTTGGTGCGAAGAAGCAGTCAATCCGAGCACACCTCATGGGCTTCAGGAAGGATCGCTTATTCCAACAAACATTGTTTCCGCCCACTGCAACCCACCCCAATACCTGCAGGTTCGATTTGGTCACTTCATAGAATTTATCAGTATCACACATTACTTGGTGACCGTCTCGTCAACAAGATGTTTCAGTACTCATATCCTATTAGTTATAAAACTAAATCCGAAGATCCAAATACGACATTATGCGTATACCCAGAATCAAAGAACCCGAACCCAGACTGAAAGTCGTTCAACACGCCTAAAAAAGGAAAACATCGAAAGGTTGCTTGGCTTAAGCAAAGTTAAATAACGCCAACGCCGCGCCAACCAACAATCCCACGCTCGTCTTCAAGCTCATCGTCCTCGCCCGCGGCGCACCAGCCGTCTGAACCGGCATCTGTCCACCAGTCTGCGACGGCACCATCACCACAACACTAGTAGACATGGTCGGCTGAGGGCCCGGTCCCGGGGCAGGGCCAACATTGGTTGGGATAGGACTCTGAGTCGGCATCGTGAAGGTCTGGGTAGGTCCGCCATGGCAGGCATTGCAATCAGTGACAGTAGTCACGACGAATCCGGGAGGGACGACTCCCGTGGGCTGGGCCCATGAGTCCCGGTCGCCGGTGCACTCCTCGGTGACGGTGTAAGTGGCATGGCAAGGGCCGGGGCCGTGGTGGCAGGGAGTAGGGAGGGTGACGCAGTATTCGGTGGTGAAGACGGGGGCGGCGGTTTGAGTCTCGATGGGCTCGGCATCGCAAGACCAGAAGGTGGCGGAGGTGAGAGGGCCGTGGGAGGCAACGGCTGGAGCAGCGGACATGGCAGCCGCGGCTGCTGATACGGGAGCGTCCCAGGAGCTGTGATGATATGTGTTAGTGATGGGTTTCTTGGTGTCGTGAGGGCTCCTGGCTCGACTTACTCCATTTTGTATGTGGAAGTGATTCAAAATATACTTGAGGTTGATTTGAAAAAGCGAAGAGGACAGAGAAAGAGATACTTGGGATTATAGAAGACTGTTCGAGTGTCGGCTCACTGGACTAACGAATGACTGGTCGTTGCAGAACGATGGGATGGAGAGAGAAAAAGCAGGAAGGAGTATGAAACGGTCACCATCGTCCAAGGTCTTATACCGCAACCACTTGTCGTTGTGATCTTGTACCTCGCTCACTTGAGTTCCATGTGCAGTGTTTACGATCATTGTTGACCGAGAGCACAGCCGGAAACATTTCTCGCCAGCCATCTCGGCGGCCGGTGGTGGTGGTCGTGGAATGGGAAGACATTACCCGCATTCCGAATCTCAGGGTTGTGTCTCACCTCCTCAGCTGCTGCCCAAACCGATGCCGTACAGATGACAGTCAAGGCCATGCGCCGGGCGGATTTCGAGAGCATGCCGAGCATAAAGTAGCGTCATCTGGGAACAATTCGCGCCATCAGTGGTGAGGTTCCTGGAGAGGACTGAGACCGTAAGATTGAGAGCATCGAACAGCAAATGTGACTTCAAGTGTGAGGAAGTTCAATAAACAAACAAGTAACTCTTTGCATTTGACAGCAAACAGTGTACGCGTGTGCGTAATGTCCTCAACATCTCATGGGCCCTGGCATAGCATCGTGAAGTCCGTGTCCTGGGAGGTTTGGAACTTAACAAAGTTGTGATCAAGTGCACGGAGGGTATGGATCGTGCACACCAAAATCCTCCACTCGGGCAACAAACTTCGACAGACATCGACGGAATGAACACAGCAACACACTGCAATCACAAATGCGAACAAGGCATATCAGCTCGCTCTTAACATGAGCGTCGTGCAAAAGCAGTCACAAGAAGCAAAACCCCCCAGATCGTGTCAACTTGCCAAGGAGAAAATAACACTTGGGCAAGTGGGAATGTCTCCAATCTATCAGCACTTCATCGCCCACAGTGTAAAGGGCGTGAAACTTCCTATCAAGGAATATCTATCTCCGAAGCGCGGAGTCCTAAAGAGGACCCCAGGCAACTCGACACCGTTGGTACTAGTGAAGGTCGTGGCAGCTTCGTGTATACTTTTTGATCTAAGGAAAAAAAAAAGGAAAAAGAAACTTCAAAAGAGGTGCGGCCGAGATTGGTTTTATACCCTTACTGCTGGGAGGAGCGCCCCACTGGCCCACCAGATTTTCTGGTGGGGGCTAGACCGTTTTTGCGTGGATCTATGGCTGGTGAGAAAGTGGCTTTCGTGTGGTCGTACGCATCGATTGCTCCAAGTTGTGGCTTGCATAGATAGCGGCTGCACCACACTCAAAGTTCAAGTTGCCTGCCGCTGCCGCTGCCGCCCCCTGCCTTCCGCAACGCAATGCAGCAAAGCGACGGAGTTGCTCACGCCAAGCGGTCGCTGTCCATCCCTGGCCCTCGTCGTCTGGGCTTCGCTTCAAAGAACCGACGAGAACCTCGACGACCTAATTGCGAATCCATCCGTAGCTGAACAAATACAACTCTTGAGAATCATCCTCCATCTATCCAAATTCGGTGTCCCACTTGCGACCGAAGTCTGTCTACGAATCAATCACTCATAACCCAATCCGCGACACAGCGCGCTCCCAACTGCGAACTGCGAACTTCTCACAGTACCAACTGCAACATCTGATCCCAGGGCACCTTCGAGCCACGCGCGCGCGACGTGCGCCCGCTCTACAACGATGCCCTCGGACGACTATTCCACTGTTGCCCGCGGGCCTCTCAAGCTCAAGGGCGTCGTGGCCGGGGGTAAAGTCAAGAAAAACAAGAAGAAGAAGGACAAGTCCGACCTCGAGAAGAACCTATCGACCGGCGACAACAAGTCACCAGTAACCAGCAACAACGATGATGACGAGAAGCAGTTACAAAAGCGAGACTCGGAGAGTCTAGGCGCAGATATAGTAGACAGCCAAGATGAGGAACGAACGAGAAGAGCAACAAGCCAAAGTCAGGAAAGGGAAGAAGACGATGAGACGAAAACCGAGGCGGAGAGGAGGTTCTTGGAGGCCAAGAGGAAGAGGGTACGTCTCTTCTTTTGTTTTTTTTTTCCTACCTCTTTCGCTGTCCAACTGAGCCCAGCGCACCGCAGCATAGTTTTGCAAGCCTGAGTGACACTAACCTTTCTGTCATCCAAAAACAGCTAAAAGAAATGATGGAATCCGGCCGCGTCCGCCCCGAGCTGCTCAAGACACACAAGCAGCGCGTGGAGGAGTTGAACGCGCACTTGTCCCGCTTGAGCGAGCATCATGATATGCCCAAGATTGGACCTGGTTGAGAAAACAGAGACCACAAAAGAGAGAGAGAGAGAGAGAGAAAGGAAAACAGGGAATCCAAGCGACAAAAGACGAAGGGGAAGCCAGCCCGAGGATGCCTGGGCTGGTATGTGGTATATGGTATGTGGCTTGCGGAATGCACATCAACCAGCAACTGCCCACTTTGCCCACCCAAAAGACGTGGCATCCACTGGCATACCAGATACGGGAACAAGAGAGGAGACGAAGAAGAGCTGATGGCCCGATGCTCGCGTGTCCGGTGAATTGGAATCCAGGACCCAGTGGCAAGATGTCAGACATCCAGTTAAACCGGGAACACTTCGCGGATGCCACTGCTGGCGGAACAATGTAAAGGCTGACAGAGTCGGATCCGAAGACATGTTCTCGTCAGACTGGCATGTCAATTGTTCCAGACGAGAAAGGTGGTTGATGTGATGACAGTTGATTTTGTGGCGGGGCAGCATTTGAATGGAAATGGGAATGCCCCGAGAGGCTGCAGATATTCACGAGGTTTCTATTTTTAAACACCGATCCAAGATACCAATCAGAACTCTTTCTACACCATCTTACGTTCATACGAGCTGGACGTCAATCTGAGCTGTTCTTACTCGTGATGGTGTCAACTCCATGTGCTCTTGTCCTGAGCCTGGTTCCTTGTTCTCTTGCGAGACATTTGTCGGATTCACATTGACGAGTGTGTTTTACGGTACCAGTCTCAACAATGTTGATGGTCATTCTATTTCATTCCATCATACCATCCAGATACTATGTACGCACGTTGTCCGTTCTTATGTATAAACCTATATCCCATCCAACCATTCCTCCATTACCGCGTATCCCACTTCTTGAGAGTCACCCAGTGACAACTTAGCTCGTCCCTTTTGTCCTGCCTGCACATCGTACAGACCACAAATTATCCTGTTCCAAAACTGTAGATAGCCTAACCAAATCTCTATGCATGAACCGTTCCCTATACCAAATTACCAAATTGCCTCCTTCCACTTTTGTCACCAAGTATCGGTAAACAAATGCCCTCTTTTTGTCCCAGGAAAAAGGAATGTGGACATACATCGCGACGACGGCAGCGCGCCGCCGCAGAAATGAATGCCTGTGTATATGTGTGTATGTGTGCGTGGTGTTGTTGTAAACCATGGAATGCAAGAACAACAGAAAAAGAATGTAAGTGACGTGACGTAGGTAACCGACGCAATGCAATGCTAAGGCAAACGAAACGCAAATTTGAAAAGCCAAAGCCAAAGCCAAAACCCATATACCAAGACGAAAATAAAAAAAGCAACTTCATCCGCGCTCACGTTCAAGCAAGAGCAAAGCCGAACAATAGCGCTCCCAACACGACAGCCTCAACGACCATCAGCCACCGCCCCGATCCCGGCTGCTGCTGGAGAGAAGAGGCCGCATTCTCGGTCTGAAGGCTGGGAGACGCCCTGGTGGTGCCGGCGCCCACTGTGGGGGTAAGGTCGACGCGGACGGTGCTGGTCTGGGTCACGACGACCTCGACGCCGTCCGAGGTTGAGGTCAAAGTCTGGACGATGACCTTGGAGCTGGGGATCATGGGCTCGTTGGGTTGTTGAGGCTGCTGGGTGGTCTGTGGTTGCTCGGTTGTCTGGGGCTTGGCCTTGGAGGTGGTGCTCAAGGTGGTTGAAGAGACTAAGAGTTCCGTGTTAGTGGATGTTCTCAAGACTACAAGATAAACCGAGCGCTGAGCGCCGGAGTGTCTTCATGGATAAGGTCAAGGGGATGCATGAGGATTTACAGTAAAGAAGTGACACCGACGTAACCACAGTGACCGAGGAAGCTGATACTTCCTGGGATGTGGAGGACGTGATTAAAGAAGAAGAGGTGACACGTGAAGTGGACGTGGACGACGAACCAGAAGAGATGGTCGTAGCTGATGTGGACGACGCTGTCGTCGACACGGATGACATGACATCAGAAGATGAAGTGGTGGTGAGTGAAGTGGATGACGATGATGGTTCAAGAGAAGAAGAAGATCTGGATGAGGTGGACGACGAACCAGATGAAGAAGAAGTGGTGGAAGACACTCCGGCTTCAGAAGACGGCTCGGAAGACGACACAGAAGACGCAGAAGACGTCACAGAAGACGCAGAAGACGACGTTGATATCAGGACGAGAGTTCTCTCACTCTCGCTCACGGACGTACCAGTTGAGCTGGGGCTAGCCTGAGGTGCCGAGGAGGATGTTGACTTGATCGAAGTGGTCGACGTGGTTGAAATGGTCGAGGTGGTCGAAGTGGTCGAAGTAGTGGTGATAGTGACGGGGGGAGCCTGGGTGGTGGTTGACGGCTCGGGCGCAGGTACACTCGATGACGAAGAGCTGGTGGTGACTTGCTGCGCGGAGCTTGACGACGAAGTAGCCTGAGCGCTGGATGAGGCCGAAGAAGTCGGTTGCTGAGTTGACGAAGCGATGGTGGTGTTCGAGTCATCACGCTTGGCCATGCGCAAGACTGCTGTCGCAAGAGGGGCGTTGTCCCGGTGAACGGCCTCGATGGCTTGCTTCTCCGACTCCCATACTCCGTGCTGGAACCGCCCAGGAAATGCTTTGTGAAGGATGTTGTGAAGAGAGTCTTTCGATGCCGCATCCAGCAGGGACTGGAAATTCTCGCCCTCTGCCGATGCAGCTCCCTCATGACACTGAACCCTCTGCTGCCATTTCGATGGACCGGCCGATGTCAAGCCGAAGAAGAACAAGAGGCACAGAGTGACGCTCAAGAGAGCGCGCCTCGACGAGTTCATCTTGTTGTCGGTAGTGGTGCTGGTTGGTAACCTCTGGTCCTCTGGTCTCGTCGAGCGTGTCCTTGCGTCTTCTGATGCCGCCTTTTCAACGTCAACGATGGGAAGCGAGGCTCCGGAAGGGGGCATCTCGAGGGTTTTGTTCGGTCCCATGGTGGCTTGCCGAGGAAAGAGAGTAAGTCTGGGCGGCCTTGTCCTGCAGCAAATGGAGATGGTCAACGGGTGGTGATGTGTGGCGATCCCAAGTGGCTGCCCTATGGAATCGTCTGCAAGCTGTTGGCTGATGGGGCCGTTCTGGAGTCTCGTCAGGGCTGGGTTCCGTTCTTGGGAAGTCCCGGCGTGAAGATTGCGGTCAAGGTATCGAGAAGCTGCAGGACTTGAAACTCAAGGACAGAGATTCATCGACTGACTCCACGAGAAGAGAACTTTTGATTGCAGCAAGCCAGTTAATGGGGACTATTTTAGTGCGGTCGTCCTGCATCGATTGTAAGCACTGTGATCGTCCCGACTCGGTATCTTCTTGTATCTTTCTTGTCCAGGAAGATGATGCGGAACGGAAATAATGGCCTGAGCTGGCTGGAACAGTAACGTTACCGGTCAAGTCAAGCCAACTTAAGCAAGACAAGAGGTAAAACAGGGCAACCCCCCAAGTCCACCCCCAAGTCCACCGAGAAGGAAGGGGATGAAGGAGCTGGGCTGTGAGCCATCGATCAGACTGGTTGAGGATGGCGAGGTGGGACAGAAAACCTGAAGTTGGCGGAAAAACGGAAAGGGCAAGAACTGAAGGGTGAGCGAAGGAGGCTGCTGGGTGATGCTTACCTGGCCAACGTTGCACTTATACCAAGTAAGACAACTAAACGAACCTTCAACGACCTTTGCTATCTTTCTCTTCGTTCCTTCTTCTGTTCTTCACGCAGTTGCCTTTGGTGTTATTCACAGGTTGTTCCTGCCTCTGCCACTATGGAGTAAGTATGGTCTATACACACGATATAGGTAAAATTAATGATAGGACACTCTTCCTGATCCCTTCCACAGTAGATCCTCCTCGCTCCTTCTTCTCCCAACTTGTGTGTTCTTCCAACTTTTCCGCCCATGTTCCAGCGGTCTGGATTGGTCTGTCCAGACTGGCGTTTCCTTGCTCGCTTGTACAGTAGGTACACTACTTACTCAACATGGTAACTTTCCGAGTCCCTGCCATCATGACGCGGCAGCTGGCCCGTATTGATCGTATTGAGTGGATGAATACGGCGAGACGGCATGGGGTGGGGGCTGTTGTTGCGGCGCTCTTTAGCCTCTGTTGATCGGTCCAACATGGCGCAAGTGGACGCCGACAAGGGCCAGGGAGCTTCACTTTTTAGTGCTGTGGACAAGGTGCAGCTGTCATTATCTTTCCTTTCAGACAATGGCTGGAGCCGCCAAGGCTCACCCCAAAACCCATAGACTGCGAGCGCCAAGATTTATCGGTAGCCAGAAATCCGACGAACCGACCTTGGATACCTCTGCGGCTCGCAAACGGAAAAGTTGAAACGGCCATCTGAAAAGACGCGCGGGAAGCCATGACGGTGGTTGCCTACCGCTACGAAGCCTGCTTCCCATTTGTGCGCCTCGGCACCTCCCCCGGGCAGTGGGGGGATGCCTTGCCCAAAGAGGAGATGGTTTCACGACATAAAAACCAAAGGGGGAACCTTGGGGATCTCCCACTCAGAATCAATTGTACCCGAGAGACGCGCGGGCCACGCTCCTAAGACGTTGTACTTTTTGTGAGAATCTGGATGCTTCGTTCGTGTTCGAATTAGCTAATCCCCTGTATTGAAGCGAGGTGTCAGATGACCCGACCCCATACCCAAAGCTTCCTAACCCAGTAGTCCGTACATTTATATAGAAAATTGGTCCGACCTACCAAAATGAAAAGTTGATATAATTACTACAAAATATATTCGTACGGAGTCACTTTAATAGCAATATTAAATAAGATTATTTCTCCTTACAAGGCCGAAATATACCGCTTACAATTGTGACGGCGCGGCTCAGCCGCTGGTCACTGGCATTCACTACCGCCTGGCTCAACAGACCCCACCAGGTTCTTGGCAACGCACAGGATCTATTTCTTCGCATGCCAAATCCATTCTTATAACTTAGTTTTTTCTTTCTTCTTCATCTTTCGATCTTCATTCAATAGTAGGGTCATTGTCGCTCTATCGTATTCCTTCCCTCTGTTTACTATAACAATCGAAAGATCAACCAAAAACTTATCGGGGACGATCTAAAATATCCTACTAGATTCTAGAAGATTAATCGCGCGCGATACGACAATTGCCCGCCTGAACGATACGAACGTCGATTTAGAAGATTGAATTAGAATTCTAGAATTATAATGCGCGACCCCGAGGAAGCCGCCTAAATAAAGGCGTAAGCTATTGAGGAAGCTACAATCGATTTTACCAAATTGAATTAAAAAGACCCGGTTGTAAAGACGCATTTAAACCGTTAATCTATTGATTAACGTAGGGTATTTACTATTTATAAAACTTAAATAGCTACTTTTAATAATAATAAGGATATTATAGGCGAAGTTTAGGGAGAGGTAACGGAGAACGCTACCTTCGAGTACTATGTTGAGAATATATTCCTATAAATTTAAAGCCTCCGCTTCCCGGATATTAATAAAAATATAAATAAAGATTTATAGGCTAAAATTAAGGAAATAGCTATACGCTATACTTTTAGTAGTAAAGGGCCCTATTTCCCTTTCTAACCGGTCTTTAATATGGGAGTAGACCGAGTCTGCTTTAATAATTTAATAGATTATAATAATTTTATATTGGAGATTTAGAAGTACCTAAAGGTTATATATAAGGAGATAAAAGTTCGTATCCTAACGATATTAATATATAAAAAATAATAAAAAGAGTTCTTTATTATTATTTATTACTTAAATTATATAATAGCCGACCTAAATAAATAGATTATATATTTCAAATAAATTTACGCTGATAAGGACCGTCCTTATACGACTATAGAAAACGTTAAGGTTAAAGAGGTAGGATTCGCTGCCCCTTTAGAGGGTATAGAAGCCGCTACCAATAAGGCCGATCACGAAAAAATTTACCGACTACGTATTAAAGGTATCGAGCCCGAGTTTAACGCTCCCTATAATAATTCGTGTGCCTAGAGCGAAATGGTTGAGGACCTATTAGTAACGCTTACTGTACGTAAAGCCGATCTAGCTAAAGCTAAAGAGGAAATTAATTCGCTTAATTAGACTATTATTAATCTTATCCGCGATCCGATATACCGTAGTACAACCCCTATTAAATCTGTCTATACCGTGTCTACCTTAAATAGTAAATTATTTAAAATTACTAATCTACTAGTTTATTATAATAATAAGTTAAAAGATATAATAACCTTCGAAGTTTAGTATCGATTTATAAGTAATAAATTAAAGGTTAATACTAATTACTTTGCCGATAATAAGGCTAAGTAGGCCTATATTGAGAACCGCTTAATTAGATACGCCGCTAAAAATTTATAGCCTTACTTTTACAATACCTACCCAAATTAAATTAAAATATTTTAGGAATTAATAGTTTACTTTAAGTAATAGTACAATAACCCGAATATAGTTCGTTAAACTATAGAAGACTTTGAGAAATTATATATATATTAAGATGATTTTTATATTTTTAAGAATAAGTTTATTTGTCTTGTTAACGAATATTAGTTAATTTAATTGTAGTAGAAAGAAGCTTTCTATCGCCGTCTCTCTCTAGAATTCTAAGTAGGTATAATTCTTTATATTACCTTGGATATTATCGATTTTAATAGATACGTAAAGACTGTCGAATAAGTGGCGTATATTTAGAAGGTAGTTAAGCGGTCTATTATAAATATTTTTATTAATATAAAGGGTAGAGGTAATTAAGGAGGATATAGAGGAAGAGGTTCCTCTTCGATTGGAGGTAATTTTAATACGTTTACTTAGAAGGCCCCCTCTAAGGAGGAAATTAATAATATATATTAAAAGGGAATGTACTTTAATTATAAGGAGTAAGGTTATTGGGTTAAAGATTATCCGAGTAAGAATGTTTAAAATAGAGGTAATACTATAGGCGCTACTTTTAATATTAATTATTATATTCGCTTATAGGTAGTTTACATTAAATACAGTATTATAGACGACTCGGAAAATAAGGACGGTGAAAAGTCTGTAGACAATAATTTAAAAAATTAAATACCTTGAACGAATTTAATTCCTATTTAAGGGAGTAATTTATATAGTTTCGGTAAGGAAAGCCGCTAAACGGCGTAAAGCTAGAATTTTTAAAGAATTATCTAGGAGGTAAACCTTTTGCCTTAGTAGCTAAAGTAGGTAGTAATAGAATAACCTTAACTATTAAAGAAACTATTATAGACTTAGGAGCTATTATATATATTTTAATTAGTAAATAAATAGTAGTAAAGATTATTAAATATTTAAACCCCGAAATTAATAATTAGTTCTAGCCGGTCTATATAGGTAGGCTATTTGTAGGAGATAATTCTAAGAAAATAATTAGAGTAATTAAAGTAAATATAATTTTATAATATTGTACGGCTTATAATGAATAGTTAATTGTAGCCAATATATATTATAATATAATTGTCGGCCGCCTGTAGTTCGAATATTATAATATAGGTATTGATTATTATCGCCGCCGTCTATTATTTAATAAATTATAGTTTAAGGACCCCGAATAAATACACGATATTTATATTGAGGAAAAGGATGATACGCTTAATTTAATATATTAAATTAATATAGAAAGGAGAGAAGTTAGAATGGAAAAGAAGGATAAGAGGCGCTGAAATAGTACGGTTATTAAAAAGAGAATTTAATAATTGGAAGTTTTATTAATAGTTAAACCCCGACCGGCGATACCCTTATTATTATTATATTCCCGACCCTTCTAAATCCTATAGCGTACGGATATATTAGAACTTTAAGATTTAGTATTAAAGGAGTTGGCCCGTATAGAAAAGGATTTATTTAAGGGTATTAATATCCTATTAAGGGGAAAAAGGGTAGATAGGGAGGTATAATACGAATATTAAAAGAATTTAAAAAAAGATTTGTGTTATTATTAAAAAGAATTAGAATATTAGGACGGAGGTTATAATAATAGTCTTTAAAAGGATAATTAAGGTTATTTTAGGTGGAAGTGAGGTGTGTCTTGGTATAAGGAGCGTATGCTTAATATGGCTATTATCGGATCGGTAGGTCTAATATCTATAGTAAAGAAAGACTACTTTGGTATTATTAGCCTTTACGAAATCGATTATTTTATTGAAGAACGTTGAGCGGAGGAATATTTTAATTAAGAAGAAAGTAAGCTTTTTGAGAGGGTGAAATAAAAGGTCCTAACTTATTATTATTTGTATTTAAATATATTTAGTAAGAGATAGTTTAATATTCTACCTAAATTTAATAATAGTAATTACTATATCGAATTTTATAAGGGAAGTCGCCCGGACGATTTGGGGTATAGTTTATTATATAAAATAAGTATAGACGAATTAGAGGCGTACTGCCTTTATATTATTGAAAACTTTAATAAAAGTTTTATTAAAAGTAATACAACCCTTTAAGCCGTTCCGATTCTTTTTATCCCGAAACTAAATAGGAAATTACACTTTTATATAAATTATTAGAAATTTAATACTATAATAAAAAAGGACCGATATCCTCTTCTATTAATTAAAGAAATTTTAGTAAAAATCTCCCGGGTAAAATTCTTTATTAAAATCAATATTCGATAAGCCTTCTACTATATACGAATATATTTAAATAATGAGGAGTTTACTACCTTTTGAATCCGGTATAGTGTATATAAATATAAAGTACTACTATTTAATTTTACTAACGGACCCTCTACTTTTTAAAAGTATATTAATAATATGTTAATAGGATATTTGGACGATTTTTGTAGTGCGTATATCGATAATATTTTTATTTTTTCGAATATATTAGAAAAGTATAAGGATTACGTATTAAAGGTCCTACGCTGATTATAGGAGGCTGGCCTCTAAGTAGACCTTAATAAGTGCGAATTTTATATATAAGAAATTAAATTTTTGGGGTTTATTATCGGAGTTAATAGAGTAGTAATCGACCCCGCTAAAGTGGTAGTAGTTAAGGAATGGTAATAACTAACTACGGTTAAAGGAGTCCAATTATTTCTAGGGTTTTACAATTTTTATTGGAAATTTGTATGTAAATACGGATGAATTGTTAAATTATTAATAAAATTAATTAAGAAAGGCGAAGTCTTTTATTGGACCCCTGATTGTTAGACTGTATTTAATAAATTAAAGTGAAAATTATTTAACGCTCTAATATTAACCTATTTTAAATATAGGAGAATTATAAAGATAGAGATTAATACGTCCGATAGTATATTGGCTAGCGTATTATTATAGGAATACGAAGACGGTTAGTACTTTATAGCATTCTATTCCGAGATTATATAAGGCGTTAAATATAATTATTCTATTTACAATAAGGAGATATTAGTTATA